GCCTATAATCCCAGCACTCAGGAGGCTGAGGTAGGAGGATCACTGTGAGTTTGAGACCAGCCTGGGCTACATAGTGAGTCTCAACTACACAGTGAGACCCTGTCTCAAAAAAACAAAACATAAAAAAACTACAAACATCCAGACACAGATCACATGCCTGTAATTCCAGCACTCTGAGAGATTGAGGCAGGAAGACCACAAATTCCAGCTCAGCCTGGGTTCAATCTCTAGAACTACCAAAAAAAAAAAATAGACTGTCTCTGACTTATTTTACAATGGTAGGAAAGCAGTCTCTGCCGGTCTGTCTGTCTCTCTCAGTGTTGGGCAGCAGCAGGGAGCTACAGCTCCCAGTCAGCTGTGGGAGCTTTATGGTTTGTTGTGGGATTTCCAGTATTTCCTGCTGGTGGGTTTGGGTAGATGACCCCCAGTGGTCAGAAGGAAGAAACCAGAGCAGCAAGAACTACATCTACTCTACTTCCTCCTGCAGAACTCCTGTGCATTCATTTACAAAGCAGCCCCAGGTGGTTACATACCAGCCGCTCCACCTTGAGGGCAACATCTCCTACACCTTAAGGTAGTCACCAGGTTAAGTGAGTTAAAGCAAGTTAAAGTATTTCTGCCCCTTGTTTCTAGTATCACATCTGGGAGCTCAAGTTGAGTCAGGACTGGAGAAGGCCCTGAAAAGCACAGCTAGTCTCTATGAAGAATTTACTTCCTTTACTGTCAAACTCCTACTCTTCCTTCAAAACCCAGCAGGAGCTGGGAATGGTACACACCCCTATAATCCTAGCACTTGAAGGCTGAGGCTAGAGGACCTCAAATTGAAAGGTGGTGATCCTGGGCTAGATAGTTCAAGGCCACCCTGGGGTACACAGTGCAACTTTGTATAACAAGAAACAAAGCCAGGCACACCTGTAACCCTGGCACTGGGGAGACTAAGGTGGGAGGATCACCTTGAGTTCAAGGCCAGCCTGAGATACATAGTGAGACCTGTCTCAAAAACCAAGACCAGTCTTAAAACTGGGTTTTGTGAAGTCACTGTCCAATGCATGATTTTCCTGCCTCAGCCTCCCAGAGTGCTGGGACCACAGGTGTTCCCCACTGCACCCTGCTTCTCTAGTTTTTTTTCTAACCTATTAATAAGCCTTTGTTAAGTACTTTCCATGAGTCACTCTCTGGGCTTGATTCTGCCTGGAAGGTAGGCACAGACGGGCTGCTTTCAGGGAAATTAGGGTAACATGGGTGGGAGTGCTGCCTGGGAAGAGAGGGCACTGTGGAGAAAATAACACCGTGATAAACACGGGACTAAGCTTAGTAGCACTCACCTGTAATCCTAGCACTCTGGGTCGCTGAGGCAGAAGGACTGGAAATTTGAGCCCAGTTTGGGCAATTGCAAGCCTGGCTCAAGATAGAAAAATAAAAAGAGGACTGGGGATTTGGCTCAGTGTGAAGACCCTGAGTTCAAGGTTCAAACCCAAGTACCAAAAAAAGGGACTGGGAGAAGCAGAGTCTTGCTGAAAAGGCCCAGTCCTGCCCTCCTGTGGGAACTCAGAGGGCAGCAGGGGGACGGAAGCCCAGGAGGTGCATTGCACAAGTAGACTCCGCGGAAGTCCTTCCTGAGTCTACTTTAGCAGGCGCTTCTGAGGCCCCAGGGGTCAGCGCCTGGTGGAGAGCCACAGCCGGACCAAGGTCCTGGGATTCCGGAGTTCCTCCTCGGCAGTGCGGAACGCTCAGGGCGTGCCGTCGCTTGCTCTCTGGCACCCCCAGTTGGCCGTGGAGAGAAGGGCTGCAGGACCCTCTGTGCCGACCCCGCTGGGTGCCCTGCACCCCCGGAGACCCGGCGGCCTCGCGATCCTAAGGCTGGGCTGTGGCCTCTCAGGCAGCCTGCGGTCCAGGCTCGGCCCTTCCCCGGCCCTGGGACATCTGCTGCCCTCCTCCTCCTGGCACCGCCGGCCCAAGTTCGGCTCCAGCCTGGCCCCGCCAGCCTCAGTGCTGCACCAGCCCGAGATGGCAGGTCACCTGGAGGACGCAGGGCGGGGACTCGGACAGAGTGGCAGAGGAGGCATCGCGGGCAGTGGAGTGACCTTGAGGCCACAGCAGGGAGTGGGCTCGAGCGCGAGCACGCTCAGGCGGGTTGGCAGTGCGGTTCCGGCGGATTGGTAGGAGGTGGCGGCACAGTTTCCAGGGACCAGTCCTACACAGGGAGCCCTGGCCTGACAGATGTCAAGAGCGATCTTCACGCCTCTGCAAGGCCCAGGTGCCCCAGACCCTGCGAGCAGACATCCATTTGTGTGCCCGCTGTGCCACACGTAGTACGAGTGCCCGTACCTGCTTCCATGAGTCCTGCGCCGGCTGCCTGCGGGGCCGTGGCATCGCTAGCCGTCCATCCTGCCTGCCGTGCCAGTGAGTGTCCCCAACCCCTAACTCTCCCTCAGAACCCAGGTGCAGAAGGGGAAGGTGAGGCTTAGACCGAGGCAGAGGAAGTTGGGAAGCCAGGCCTGGTGGCACACGCCTGTCATCCCAGCACTGGGGAGGCTGAGACAGGAGGATCGCACAAGCTTGAGGCCAGCCTGGGCTACATAGTGAGTTCAAAGCCAGCCTGAACTACACAGCGAGACCCTGTCTCAAAAAAAGAAAAAAGAATAGTTCATTTCTCTGTCAGCCAGAAAGGACGCTGGTGCTGAGTCCCGGTGCGGTGAGGGAACCGCAGGTGCAGGGTTCCCTGGCCAGGCGTCTGCGGGCTCAGACTGTCGGAACTTGCCCCTTTCAGTGAGGGCACGAACACTGTGGACTCAGGGGCCACCACCCTGGGGGAGGCTAGGTGGGGTGGGGCCGAGCTGGGCTGCTTTCTGAGCAGACCCAGCTGCTATTGTTAGCTTGGGCCTGGAACGCAACGCGAGGGTGGGGTGCAGAGCGGCCACCTCTCCACAGACACCCGCAGCGGTGAAAGACTGGGCGGGCTGCCCCCACCCTCGGGACCACTCCTGCAGTTCCTGGTGGGCAGCTCCGCTGGCGTGGAAGCCTTGCTCTGCGCCCACTGCAACCCGGCCTGCAGCAAGCAGGCAGGAGGCGGAGGTTCCAGGGGGTACCGGAGTGACCCTCCATCTGCCCGGGGCGCGCACACCACTGTAAATGTCCTACGTGCAGTTCCTGCCCACCCCCGTCCTGGCCGCTTCCCTTTGCTGCCCCTTGGTTGCGGCTGCAGGGGCCGGCGGCAGGGACACGTGGTCCTTGCCCGCAGCCCAGCTTCCGGTGGGGACAGTGAGGCTCGGCCGCAAGGTCCGAAGCCGCAACCGAGGCTCGCACTGACCGGGGGCCGCACCCGCCTCTATCCCCAGGAGCCCAGACCACGTACTTTGGCGACACGTGAGGGCATGTTCTGAGGCACTTTTAGCAGAGAAG